AAAACTATTTTATACAGTTGGTGCTAGAGTTGAGTTATAACTTAAAATCTTTTTTATGATCCGATTTGGCGAATATTCAAAACATGTATTGGAAACGTGAAAGGCAGTCTAATTGCCAGGTGGTGCTGAGGTCGAGTTATTACCAAAAATCGACAAGTGAGAAAGGTGCCAATATTATTATGCGTTAAAGCTTCATTCGAATAAACCAGGGTTGAGTTGTGCAGTGGTAAATCTCAAATCACCACCGGTCGAAATACCTTAAAAGCCAGTTTCATGAAAGCAATTTAATGAAAATTTGTTTTTTTAATTGAATTTAATATAGAACCTGACAGAAAAAATCATTTTTCACTTAAATTACTTTCGCGAAACTGGCTTTTAAGGTATTTCATCTCAGTCTATATATGTATATTGTATACGCATCCATTTTGAAATTGCCACCAACTATAAGATAAACTTTCTAGGCCACATTCACTATTGATCCGGATCATGGATGCCACCAGGGAACTTCTCATGGGCATAACACTTTCGTTCGGTTATTTAAGGCGGCCAACAACCACCAAACCATAGTCTTAGCCGATGAATGTGCCAGTACAAATCGTAAATATGGATTGCTGGAGAAACTGTTGGACCAAAATGTTTAAATTAAAAATCTAATTTTGGGCGGGACGAATTTCGCCAAGTCTGCTAATATTCTAATAATTTACAACATTCTTAAGTAATAAAAACGATGTCTTCAGTTGATTATAGCTTTTTGAATGTTATTCCTAACATTCGCATTCCCACATTCGCATTCCGAAAAATATGACATTCGAAACATCGCCAGTATATACATATACTTATATATATGGTTTAAAATGGAAAATAATATATGTGCAGACATACATACATACTTATTGTATGTAATTACATTTGTATGTTTTAAGTAAATGCATGTGTGGAAATATGTTTAATAGAAGCACTGCTTTTAAGTCTCTCATTTGACGCATTCCAAATAAGTAATCTGCTAAAAATACTGGCTTAGCGAAAATGTGTGGTGTAATTTCGCTGGTCGATAGCAACGTGCTCACCAACTATGGACAGCTACATATTTTTACAAGTAGTCGAATATTTTTAAAATTTTATTCTCCTTGAGTGTTAAACCGTTGAAAAAAATAGAGCTAAAGCTGCAAAAAA